TATTGATGAAACAACCTCATCAATATTTTAATTAGTGGTTCTTTACTTTTCCTGCTGGACACAACATGTCTCCTATTTCATTGGATTGGACCTCCAAACTATTTGTGATGTCACCAATCATGCTGATAGGTCCCGCCCCTTAAAATCAGACTTTCAATGAGCACAGAGAAACTTTCCACTTTCAGCAGATGACTGTGAAAACACCCCTCTGCACATACAGCATTCAGACAGCACACTGAAAAACATATTTTTGACTGGAGGGGGACTTTTGAAAATTCATCCGTTTAGCATTTAGTATTTAGTATTAGAACTGTATTTTTCATAAGACACTAACATCAAAGTAAAAACTCATTAGTAGTAATTGTGGAGGAGGTGTGTTTGCTACAGAGTCAACAGAAGAGAAGACAACACTAAGTGCTGCATATAGATGTGTGTGTGCTGTGGTTTCCCAGAAAGTCATTACCCCTGACAGTGGTCTGCCTCACCCTGAGGTGCTTCGCTTCACAATTTGCAAGAGCTGTTTCTACATCACTGTTTTCCTCCTCATTCATTCAGCAGCAATGGGCCACAAAAGCAACACAATTACCTAACCATTGCTGCGATGGCTGCATTTACTCCAAAAACTAAACAAGTACAGGCAAAACTGCTCAGATGAGAACAATGCAAAATGATTGCTACCATCAAAGTTGTAAGGGCTCTCTTGTACTACAAACCTCCCCAGGCATGTGAAAGTACAGGCTGAGGAAATACTGCTGCCCCCCTCCCTGTTTAAAAGTCATTACCCATCCTCCACTCTCCTGTTACGCTAACAGCACACACCCCCCAAGGGCTCTCTGTCTGTGTGTCTGTTTGTCTCAGTGCGGCCTTATCTATAGTGTGTGTGTGTGTGTGTTGATAAGCATATGCTTTGAGTTAATGCAAACATGTATGAGTAGTCATCTATTTTCATTGTTTACGCCCGCAGAATGTGCATTAGTATGTCTTCTGTATCTCTCTCCATATTTGATCTTGTTTACATTGAAAAGATGCTTCCACCCCCAGCTCTACCACCCCACCACCAACGTGGCCACCGCTTTCCTCCTTCATATCACTCACATTTGTTAGGTTTGCTACTGTCACAGAATGTTGCAATTACAAATAAATTCCCTGGAATAAATAAGAGCTGTTGATGGAATGGAATATAATATTCACTGGTATATTTTCTTTAGTGTATAACCTGAAAATAACAATTGTTGTGTTTTTGTTACACCGTTTTTATCTACAGAGTGAGCGGGTCCCCTTCTACAAGTCCTCCATGTTGAACTGCCAGTAGCCCAGAAAGGACAAACCAAACACTAGCCCAGTGGTTCTCAACCTGGGTTCGAACCCTAGGGGGTTCGCGATGAGTCGGTCTCAGGGGTTCGGCAGAAAGCCCTCGCCGCGGAGGTCCGGACCGACCCCGAAATTAATCGTGTGAAATATTCGTGATTGAACAGCGCCGCTTTGGCCTCTCACCCAAATTTGTTGCGCTCAGTAGTCAACGTGATGAGCTGTCGATAGTAGTACGGTCTTCTTAGGGGGAGGTACTGTTGGATTTCCTTTGTTAATATTTAGATCCATACTAACTATGTCGTGGCAAAGAAGAAAAGTGGTGCGGAGCGAATGTGACAACATGGATTCACATGTATACACGGAAGCACGTGAGCGGAGGAGCCCGTCCTATCTGGAGTTGATCTTGCAAACCCAAGTGTGAGCAACTCTAGTCTTGCACCGGCAAACAACTAAGGAACACTATCTTGAAAGCTGTCATGGAGTACAGGGAATACAAGAAGACACAACACTTGCTGAATTCAAGGTGAGTAGAGAGCCAGATTCGATGGCCCAGGGCCAGCTCTGCCGTGCTCTGGATTGTGTACGCTCATTAACAAACCCGATATCTCACAGCATGTACGGAAGTTGCTTACCTGATCGCAAAAGCAGGGGCAAAGCCACACACCAAATATGGTGAAACACTCGTAAAACCAGCTGCGTTAAGATTGGCGAATCTGAAATACTCCGGAACAGCGGCCGAAAGTAAATTAATCCCAAATTCCTCTTTCCAATGACACCGTCAGCGACAGAATAGAAGACATGAGTAGAGACATCTTGGCTCAAGTAGTCCGGATCTGATTTCAAGCCGCGGCAAAATTCAAGCCGTTCAACTTGACGAGAACCGACAGACGTTTCTAATCTAAGCCAGCTTGCTGTTTTTGTGCGGCTTTGATGAAGACGCATGATAAAAGAAGATTTTTTATTTTGTAGCTCTTACAACAAAAACTAAGGGCAGCCGATGTTGAAGAAGCCTTGTGGAATGACTTCTGTCAGGGAGACAACATTCTTGTCAGTGGTATTGACATGTTTCTTGCCAGTTTGTACGGACGGAGGCTCAGTTCATGATGGAGAAGAAAGTTGGTTTGGTTGCGGCTAAGTAAAGGACTGCCATCACACATTTCATTTGTTGACGGGCATTTGCTATTGCTGCCCAGGCATGGGTTGGCCACAAAAACTTGGGCCGTCCAAAAATGGCGAAGTATAGCAAAACTGCTGCGTGGGAATGGTGACTATGTGTCTGTATATGTGCTCCTTGAGGCAGCCGCATTCTTGAGTGAGCTGTGTAAGAAAGGTGGCGCTCTGGCGCCAATTGCGAGGGTACTTCTTGTACCATTTCGTTGCGGAAGGTTGGGCACCTTGTGGTTAGGTGTTCTTCTCTGGGGACAGGTGGCTGATATCTTTTTGTGTTCAGTGTTTTTTGCATGGCGTTTGTTGGAATTTAGGGGTTTTTGAGCATGGTAAGCTACCTGATATCTTTCTGGGTGCGATTGCATGTATTGGGTCGTTGTCAGTGTTATACCATCGCTTGATAGTTCATTCCTCATTTTGGCGTATATGTGGCGCTGTATAGTGAGGGGTTCGATTCGAGCCTTGGGTTTTTTTATTGTGATCTGGTCAGTGTTGTGCAGGTTTTGGAGTTGTTTTTTGTTTTGGGTGGGCAGAAAGCTGCGTCAATGTTCATTGTTCTCAATCATGCTAGATATGTTAGGGATGTGGAGTCATATCAGTCATTTTGGATAGCGGAATAGCACCAACTATCCTGAAGGCTTTTCAAAAAAAGCTACCGTTATGGAAACGGACAATGTATACTTCTTGATACAGCTTTTCCCTTTCCTGGACGACTGTGTAGAGCGTTAGTGATCGAGAGTGATGATCGTGGAGATCTGTATTCACTCGGCAACGTGAAGCATGACAAATTCGTTACTTGCACTGTTAGATGCAGGGCATTGCAATAGTCTCTGCTGAGACAGATTATATTGTCCGTTATCAAAGAGAGTCATAGATCCAGCATGGGTGAGAGCAAGCGAGGTTCGTTTGGGTGTTGAGACAGGCAGAATGTCAATGATGAATCAGCCGATCGACGAAATCATTGAATTCAGCAGAGCAGATATCAACCAGCAACTCTTCAGAAGCAACACGCTCAACGTTTCTTGGTGTGACACAATGGGACAAGTATTTGTCCAGTTAGTTTGCTAAGAAAGTCCCCGGTGGATTTTTGTTTGAGTACTATTTGTATACCCACATATCTGTTGGACGAGCAATCTGTTGTGCGAGGATGCTGGAGCTAGTAGAAGAGGGGCAAGTAAAGGATCAGACCTTTGTCGTGAAAATGAGCATGAGAGTGGGCAGCTTGGCCAGGTGAAGAACTGATATCGAACTGGTTCTCAAAGGCAACAGAGAAGTCACTGATTTGCAGGTATGTAATTGTTGTGAGTTCATGCATTGTGTTGGTTTTGTTCTTTGAACAAGGTGATGTTCATGCACGGCTCATTTTGTGCACCAGTAAAAAACATATCTATGTCTTGAATTTGAAAAAAATCATATTTTATTTTTCACTAAAGAGGGGTTCAGTGAATGCGCATATGAAACTGGTGGGTTCGTACCTCCAACAAGGTTAAGAACCACTGCACTAGCCATTCGCGTTTTCCGTGGCCACCGTAGTTTCTCCTCCATGCTTGGAATGCTGAGCTGTGTTCAAATGGTTGCAATCTGCAACTTCACCGCTAGATGTCACTTTATCCTACACACTGTACATTAACACCATCATCAGGTCAAACTCTGTCCAGTAGCCTGCTTAATGATTGACATTCCCATCAGCCATAAAGCAGTGAGGTCCAGCTTATATAGAATGGCTGAGAAATATTTCTACTTGATGGAGCTCAATTTTATTCTGGAACTCTCCGTAATTTAAAGGTCCAACATGTAGGATTTAGTGGCATCTAGTGGTGAGATTGCAACCAAATGAATACCCCTCGCCTCCCACTCCCCTACAAAGTATGTAGGAGAAACTACAGTTGCCACGAAACATGCGAAAAAAAGGTAAAAGGCCCTATCTAGAGGTAGTGTGGGCTACTATGGCAGTTCAACATGTCGGACTCTGCCATTTTAAGGAAACAAAAACACAACAATTCTAATTTTATTATACACTAATGAAAACATAACTATGAATATTATATTATATTTCTTATATTCTGCCAATAGAGCCCCCTAAATCTTATACACTGAAGTATTTCCGCTTACTGGTATTATTATTTATTTAGGCAATGGAATAGTCCGAATATAAAACATAAACAACTACATTACATCATTTTGGTGTAAAACTTAAATAAAAAAAATGTTAGTCGATACTTTCCTTAATCAGTAGCTTTCAAACATAACAGCAAGCACGCCTACAGCTACAATACAAAAATAACTATGTATTAATCATAATATTGAGCCTGGCCACGTTGGCCTAAAATGTATTTTAATTTAATATTTGTAAGTTGTTTTTGAAGAATTGCCGCCAACCCCAGCCCGACTACACCATCCTTTTCCATACTGCGACACCCATTTTGATGTTTATGTGACTGGAGTGTGCTTCCTGCAGCGAGGAGCTCAGGCCTACCTCATTTTCGCCTGGCAGGTCAGCTGCTCTGTGTTTCAGTCTGAAGCCGTTGGCTGCTACTGAACCGTTTGGCTCTTTTCTCTACTAGCGAGCAAACCTACAATCTAGACCCAACTGTCCATCCAGCTCATTTTTAAGGGGATTTATCATTATATATGCCCGTGTATCCAAAACACATCGGTCATTGGGGATTCCTAGCACCGGTTGGCCGGGTCTGAAGGCCGTTATAACGCTTTTTCGAGGTTTAATTAGAGCCAGAAAACAACGGTGGTGGTGGAGGAGGAGATTCCATATTAGGAGCACAGAGGAGAAGGCACCCCCCTTGTGTGATTTGGAGCTTTTGGTGAGTGTTTATCGTCGTTTTACGTTATTATTGCCGTTATAAATGATACCACCGTATAGAGTGATGCCTAATGGCTGTAAATAGGAGGTTTGGGCGGGTTATTGCGCTGTTTTGAACGTTTATTTTTATATTTTCTGTCGGGGTGGGGGATGGGCAGCGTCAGCGCGTGAGTATGCGCGCGCGCGCGCACGGTGCATGTGTTCGTTCTCGTGGTTGGTTTGTGTTTGTGAGCGCGCGCTTCCTTCCTGCCAATACTGCTAGCTTTGAATTAAAAACACTTCAGTGATTGTAAATCTCAACCAGACAGAAACTAACATAAACCCCATGTTTACATCAACACTGGCAGTTCATTAGAGGTGTAAAGTTGTCAGTGTTAACTTTTTACTAACCACCACTTGTTTTATTTTAGTTCATTTAGATACTTTGAAATTATGGATTGATGCTTTTGTTTCTTACTTTAATTACTTTGTGTTCGAATGCACTTTTACAGCTGTTTCGATAATTACTTCAGTGTTACAATAATGCTAAAAAAACAACAAATCAAAACAGAAAGTGTAGTTTGAGCAATATTAGCATGTTATCCTGTAGTTCCTTACCAGTTTGAAGTGTTGTGCATTACAGGCCCATAGTTATCTCCACAGTTTAAGATAATGTTGCTGTTTAACCATGATCGTCTGCAACATACTGTAAATGTGCCAAAGTACATAGTATAGTATGATGTCATTATATTGTATATTATTTTATTACCTTTTGTGTAAATCTTATTCAAAGCTTTTTAGAGTGCTTTGCAGCTGGTTGCTCCAAAGCCATGGGCGGTGTGGGGGAGGGGTGAACACACATGCATCCACACACACCCCATACACACACACACACACCCAGGAGGGCCACTTGCCAACCTTGTGAAGCTCATGTCAATGACACAATGTACCAGTCCCAGATAAGGAAAAGGCTCCGGACCTGTTTACACTTGACATTAACATCTTTCTTGGTTGATCCAGTTTGACGGACAGCTTTAAGTACAGGTGTGAATGCACCCAAGACTCATTGAGATCAGATGTCCACATTCGGAGGTGGTCTGGGCCGCATTTGGCCACATTCTTTTAGCAGTGTGTACGCAAATGTGTCCTGGGCCACACTGAATACCTACACCAGGGGATCCCAAACTTTTTCATGTCAAGGAGCCCAACAGTCGATGCACATTGAACCACGGACCCCCAGTTTGAGAGGATTATATTATGGACTCCCATCTGAGTAATTCTTTTTCTTTAGATTTTAAATACTTGTGGATGGAGTACACATGGAACATCCTCCGTCCTCCATCTGTTCTGCCTCAACTCTGTGATGTACTGAGGTGTCCTGATGGACAGATCTCACTATTAGTTGCTAAACTATCCACTAACTGCTGTTAACTTTAGCTGCTGTTCGCCAGTTTGCTCAGTTAGCGGTGCACCTTTCTCTCCGACTGTATGACAAGAATATTGAATCAGCTTTTCTTTGGTTTGGATTACGATCACTGACTACTGTCTAGTCATTTCCTCACATGCAAGTGCACAACATATGTGCATGTCAGCAATCAACTGGGTGTCAGTCTTTGTGGTGTATCCAAGAAGTGTTCACAAGAGGGGAGGCAACACATCCTCCGCTCTTTGTTTGCACTTGTGCACTGAGGTCGGCTGAGTGTGTCATGCAAGGACACCGGCCAATCACACAGAAACAAGTGTATTTCATGGTCACTGATATATGTGATCTGTAGCTGCTAAATGCTAACAGATGTTAGCACAACTTGATGGGGTGGATGTTCAAAGTGTTTGAGAAACCTTAACAGGAACTCCAGTGTCATTTGTAGCTTCTCAGACTACTGAAAGAAATGTTGTGTGCATAAATATAGTGCAGAATGGAGGCCAGTGGACCTGAGGCGAGTCCAGAAGCGGGGTGTGACTTTTGGCTGTGTATGAGGATGTCGCTGTGAACATAAAAAACACAATTCATTGAGGCTGTAGGGGATACGTTTCCCTAGACATTCCTGATATTTTGGTGTTTGAAGGAATGCTTTTTGCGCAACTCATGGGATGTGGGTCGGGCTCTGGTGTAAAAAGGGCTCCTGTGTCCATCATAGATGACCCACATTAAAAACAGGGTCACACCTGCACATGTAGAGTGAATTGTTTGGTAAAAAAAAAAAGAGTCTCAGCATTAGTTGGTTGACCAGATGCAGCCTGTGTTGGGCTCCCTGTGCTCTGGTGCTGAACACTTTAGCAGGTCATTCCATTTAGTAAATAAAAATCCCCTTCATTACGTTGCCTAGGTATATTGCATTACAGGGTCCGTGATAAACACACAGCTCCCACTGCTCTAGCACAAAAAGTAAAGTGTCATGCTTAGATTGATGCATGCTGGTGTTGTGTTGCTTACAATATTACAGTATATTGAATTGCAACATCTGTTTGGCGATTCATGTCGAATCGCCAAATTCTTGCTAACACACTGCCCTAGGTCTGATTGGCTGTGTGTAATGTAGCATTTAGCTATTTCAAAATATGTCTGGGCTTCACATCATGCCAAAACGTGATCCATAAGGACTTGAGAAGCGGAGGGTGGCCGGTTCCACTCCAGCATGTACGAGAATGTGGAAGCAACAGATGATCTTAGCTGTTAGACGGTAAGGAATGGAAGTAGTAAAAAGCTCAGTGAAAACAGGGATCAGGTGTGAGCTCAGTTATGGATGTGTCAGTTCTTGAGCAGTGTTTGTCTTATAAAGATAAATAATATCACGGTGGAAGGCTTTGAATGACATTACATTTTACAATATCCTGAGTTGATGCATGAAATCTGATATTACCTCTGGTAGAATCTGGTAGGTGACAGCTGATGGCAAGGCCACCTTTTATTAACCAACAACCTCGTTGACCATTCTTCCATTGGCCCATTTTCCCCGACTGTGCTGCAAGCAGAGTTTCCAATAATGACCGTATTGTACCTGATGCCAGAATTTCAAATGAGTCAGTAAGAGAAATCACTCTCTGTATAGTCTGTATAGTCACTTGTTTCTTTTGCAGCTTCAGTTCGGTAATTAGGAGGGAGAAGAAAGCTTGACGTGTTCATTCAAATCTTCCATAGTGCAGCTAAGCTGTGACCAGAAGGCCATTTGAAATATAATGTGAACACTGGTACTGGGTTTGCTTATTTGTCCTCAGTGTTGCATTTCCAGTGCGAATGATGAGCACACAAGAATATGGTTCTTTACAGAGTAGGCAGCTGAGTCATGTTATCTACACAGGACACATTGATTAGTTGGCCTTATTAAATCACAGAGAGTGGTTAGAGTAGTACAGTTATGTAACCAGCGCTCGTCAGTGTTGTGAATTGAAGACAAAATGGACAAAGAAGTGCAGTGAGTGAAAATGTCTTCCTTTAACAGCTTGACATGAGAAGGAAGAGACACAAATATGGAACAGGCCTGGATCCTGTACATGTGAGAAGATGAGGAGAGAGATTGGCTTTCTAATGTAACTGAACCTAACCTTCATTACCACTACATACTTCCTGAACATAGTTTTGGTGATGCTGGTAATTAACAGTAAAAGTGATTGTAGCAGTGACGTATGGTAAAAATACCAACAGCTATATTATATAACATGTCTGCATTAAAATGTTGATAAATACTAGACCTGTAGTTGAGTTGTGTACTTGGATTATTGAATGTTTCCAACAGTGTTCAGACCCAGATAAATCTGTTCGCCTGTCTTTGCATGCATCAGCGTTGTGGCTGTCTGCTGGAAGCTGTCACGTATTGACTTTTCACCCAGTTTTAAGCCACATTTTAACGCTGTACTTGTTAGACCTCGGTTGTTAACTATATAGTGGAATCAGATGAAGGCCTACAGTCTAACGGCAGCTGGACTCGCAGCCCCTCTGGGACATCCTGTCTGCTGAACAGTGTCACAGAGGAACACTATTAAGGTGAAACGGCTTCATTCAGTGTCATCAAACTTTGTCTTTTGTTACTGTTTTGATGTGAGAGACCCCCTAAGGACAGAAATGACTTATTGTAACTAGTGTGTTTGTTATACAGTGCAGTACATTAACAAGTCCCAACCTGCTGACGCGTTCTTGTTAAAAACCATCCTGTTAGCTGCTATTGTGTAGTGTTTACATCAATTATTTGTTAGAAAAGCAGATTGTTGTGGAAGACATGAGCAAGTCAAGAGCAGCTTGTTTATATACTAGAGCTAAAGCATTATGAGGATCATTTTCAGTGCCTGTGTGGGTTTCCTCTGAATTGGCGACACTAAATCAGTGTGAATGGTTGTCTGTCTGTATGTGTCAGCACTCTAGTCCAGTGACATGTCCAGGCAGGGTGTACCCGCCTCTTGCCCAGTGTGTGCAGGGATAGGCTCCAGCCTCCATGACCCTGAACAGGACAAACTGCTGCAAGTAGATAAGGTTCACTTTGAACTTGATTTTTCTTCGTCTGGCTGCTGAGAAAAATACCCAGCTAGCATTGTTTATTTAGAATTTCTCCATGTACGATCAATAATATACCTTGAACTATGCCTGGCAGACGTCTAGAACACTGGGAACAAAATTTGATTTATAGAAAATAATCGCAATACCTGTAATAAAAACTGCAACATTGTTCTGCCCAATATCTACGGCTTTTAAATTGTAAGATTTAAGGTGCATTAGTAAATAGTTTGGACACACAATGACTATACAGCTGAGTAGTAATGAAATTGTACTTAAAATAAAATGCAGAAGAGTTGTATCATTTGTGAAGATTTATTTGCTCAAACAGTTTTAAAGGAGTGGATCATATTAGGGACACACACATACTGCTACACTCTCAGGCCAGCTCACATGCACACACACACACAGTTGACAGCAGTCACATGGTGTGTGTGTGTGTGTGTGTGTGTGTGTGGGGCAACCCCCGGGGGTCAAGTTCAACATTGTGAAGAATGTGTCTGTGCTCTGTGACCCTCCCCTTTAAGGCTTTGTAG